TAATAAACTGCATACCAAAATCAAATCTATTTTAAACCATTAACAAATTAACTCTCAATTACCTCCCAAGAAGTACATAACAGAGTTTCCTTAGCCTCATTTTAATGTGACAAAAGAGACAAAGAAACAAAGTTAGCCCCAGTCCTGTGATAGATCCATGGACAGTCACCACCAGGACTTCAAAGCCTCCTGATTGCCAGTGCATCACTCCCTCTCCAGCCCATCTTAGTCTCTGGCTGTGACAAAACTAGCAGCTGCTTGCAAAAACAAGCTGAAGGACAGAGATAACAGCACCTGAATGCTACATAAACAAGGGATTGTGGTAGCTCCCTCTAATAATATAAACCAATTATGTTCTTCTGGCTCTGCCTTCCATCTTAAAAAGAATTAGTCAAAGGGTTATGTGGGATTAGGGAATTAGCCTTTCACCCCTGAAAAATGTAAGTTCAAATATTAGTTGAGGTCATGAATGAAAATCAGTTTCTTCCATTCCAGCCTTGTGCTTATATATTAGAAAAACACAACACAAATTGGCAGAACAGTCCCAGCAGTGGAATAGCAACAGCAGCTTATGCACACATATACATATATATAAAGTATACATGATGGCTATATATAGTATACGAAGTACATACATACATATATCTACTTACATTAGAGAATAGGGAAGGTGGAATAGGAGAGCACGTTTAGAGATAGGTTGGCTTTGAAATGTTTTGAAATTTGACACTGAATCCGAACTGGGAGATCCAATGTTTGATTTTAGTCCTGCAATGACCCCTTGGAGTAATCTTCACCAAGCAAGAGTCCCCTTTAATCACCTAACACTGAAATATCTGGTCTAAGCTAGTCCTTAAAGCTCCTTTTCAGTTTTGTCAGAAAGACAGGCATAAGGTTATCTATGCCACCTACCTTCCACACCTATCCAAAGATCACAGTGCAACAAATGTACACAGTCCTTTGGAAGCAGAGAACGCTCTCTCTCAATCTCTCTCTCTCTGTCTCTTAGGCTGAGATGTACACAACCTAAATCCCTTCCCACTCCCCATCTTCATTTTGTCCCATTTATTGATTAAAGATTAAAAAAAAAAAAGTGACTCTTCTTATTCACAGCAAAAGAATCCTGTTGTGTGCCATAGAAATTCCATGTGAGAATGAGATGACAGATCTCACTTAATAGGTAATTTCCAGCAGGAAAAAAGGATTGAAAAATTATGGACAACAAAATAACCTTTCCCCCACTAAGGCTTTGATTTCTATATAAAAACTATTAATATTGCAGTGGAAAAGACAAAACCCAGACTGGAAAATGTTACTAAGTAAATCTTCTGTTCCTACACAAAAGACAGACTCTTCTTAATTAGAGGAGATACACCTTTCCTGTACAGGCTCATGAGAGCAGTGGACTAGCAAATGGCCTTTCATTTAAACACTGTTTGGGCTTGAATTGATCCACAAATATAGAGCAAACTATATAAAAAAATCGCAAAATTGTATAGAAATGGAAGTGGTGTAAAAGTCTAAACTCCAACCTCTGCCATGGTGTACACTGTAAAAACAGTCAGTTTGAACTGAGACAGTTAAAAGCAGGAACACTATTTGGAGACTGTGCATTTTAGCTCCAAATGACCTTTGGTCTTGTAGAAACGTGTGCTGACATAACAAACATGAAAGAGACAAAATTTCTTCTTCTGTTCTACTGGAATACCCAAAATTCAAGAAATTTTGCCAAAATAATCCTCTGTCCTGAAATTTCATCCATGCTCATGAAAAGTTTTGACTTCTGTGACTGAAAGATAAGTCCTTTCAGAAAATCAAATCAACGAATCACAGAAAACAAAGTGCTTGAATGTATCTCTAGGAAACAGTCATTTGTCTTCAGAATGAAAAGAAGAAAAATAAAAAGACAAATGAGGTTTCAGCCTCGGGCAGCAGTGATGCACGGAATACTTGATTGTTCTACCATACAGGCAATTCCTGGTCTTATCCTGCAACACAAATAGAGTTGGCCTTACAAATCTTAGATTGCTTTCAAAAAGAAACACAGAACACAGTTAATTTTCCTAGACATAGAAGAAAATTTCCCCCATCTTAAAAATATAAAGGTATTCACAATCCAGCTGTGAAGAATATATCCCTTTCTTTGAAATGCAGAAGCTTTCTGTAACAACGAGTTATTTCAGATTTGCCTCAACAATCAATAGGCTTAAACATGCATTTCACTTTCAAAGAGAATTTAGTTCATTTTGAATAAGGCTACTAAAAAAGTGAGTAAGAACATCCACAGATTGTTTAGTGCAGTTTAATCAATCATTTTACAAAGCAAACAAGATTAACTTTTATAACATCATTTTATAGATAAATCTAAATAGTAATTCAGATTTATGTTACTGATATAAATGAAGAGAGTGGGAATTCAGAGCAGATGAATAACCTGCTCTTTACAGGTTGCTGAGGCGGGAAAGGTACCATTTTTATTCCTACCTACTTGTTTTTCTACTGTCAAATGCCAGTGGAGCCACAAAAGACAGACTGTTGTTACAAAGCCAGCAACACTTATTCTGTTTCACATTTTGTAGCAGACTCATACTTCAGGCCAAGCTCAGGCCATAGCTTTTTAATTTTTCTCTAAATCACCTGACACACTTTTGGGAGTTATAAAACAAAGTGACTGATGATACCTAACAATTGTGTGTGGCAGGGAAAATATATAGTGTTCCTTTTGTGGGGACAAACTGCAAACCTGGATAATGCCAGGAGTGAAGACTACCTTGAGAAGTCACATTTATGCTCAGGGACAGTTTAAGCTTTTAAAAAACAGTTAAAGATAAATCCTGTAGTAATAGCAGACAACAAAATGGTATATTTTTCCTGAAAGCACTTATACAGATTCTGGAAAGATGCCCAGAAAGAGTCTCAGGCATGAAAATAAATTATAATATGTGTTAGTTTTCCATAACAAGTCCATAAGTCTAGAGTGGTACCTAGACAATGGGCAGTGAGGATAACAACTTTCTGAAAAGGGGAATCAGAAGAGAGGTAGATAAGGGGAAAGACTGCAACACAAAAATCCTTTTCTTAAATGTAGATTATTATTCACTAGTAAAAAACCTTCCTTTGCACTAGTGAATACAGAATACAGGCATTTCCTTGGATAAACTTCCTTTTAAAGTTCTGGAGAAAGAAAAAGAAAAATCAAGTGAACTTTCACTTCCATCAAGAATGAGCCTGTTCTGTCAAGTGTGCAATTATTTCTTTCCTATGGCAGAACTGCAGAATAACTACTCAGGAGTGATAATTCTCAGAAGACAGTTTTCTCTTTGGTTCAAGCCACGGAGCTGTGATAACTCCATCTGTAGTTTGAAAAGGATCATGATGCCTTACATATTGCCTACATGAAACAGAGAGCATCCGAAGTGTGGTTGGTTTTGTTTTTTTTTAAATCAGTGCAAATAAGACAGGTGCAAAAATCCACATGCACACTTCTTTGATTATTCCAACCAAGACTAATTTAGTATATCTGAAATTGATTAGGAATACATTTACTTTAAAGAACAATAAATTGTTTCTAATTTGAAAAGAAGTCTACACAGTAATTTGTAGAACTTAGATTACACCAGTGCACATTTGTGTAGATGCAAGTCACGAAGAAGCAGTGTGCCATAATAAGTTATTTGCTGTTAGAAAGCACAGAAACTTGCCCTGTTTTTCCAAACTGACTCCACAAGGCAGGTTGTCTCAAGATTTAATTCTTGAAAAACTGTGGAACATACCTTTCTCTGTGTTGAACAGACACAGAGAGGATGACTCCAGCCACACAGTAACCTCTGTGGCAGGTGTAGCTCCTGCATCCTTCTAAAAAGTGGAGCAAAACTTGGAAGAGGTACAACGATACAGTGTGGCCTGGATGGCCTGAAAACAATGCAAAGTAGGGCACAAAACCCTTCCGAGTTACGCCTGCCGAGAACAGCCCTAATTGCCCTAATTGCCAGCACACGCTACGTGAAACTCCGGTGATACACTGTCAGTGATGACGGCTATACAGAGGAACGTGGTAGCTATGCCTGGAAGCCGGGCACGGAGACACGCAAGCTCTGCTCTCCTCTGTTGCATTCATCTTGTTTATTTACTTAATGCAAATGAGCACAAGGCATCTGCCACTTTGGGGGCCCCAAGGAAACTATATGTTTCAAGGGTAATTTCAGAGTGATGCCCTACTGTCTGCTCCTGCAGCTTAAAAGGAAAATCCCTCGAAACGTCCACAGTTTCCCAAGCCGACATTGGTGCGGACGCGTCCTGTTCGCGGCGTTCGCAGTCATCTCCTCGCGGGCACTGCCCTTAGCCTCGACCAGACGGACTGCTGTGTTCAAACACGAGGCACAAGGCCACGGCAATGGAAGCGTAAAAGCTCTTCAGATCCGCAGCCAGGCCGACAGGAGCAATGTACCAGGACACCCGTCCGGGAGCGCCGCGTGCCTGGAGGCAGTGAGGGAGGGGGAAAGGGGGGAATCTGGCCTTGCGCTGCCGGGGACACCGCGGTCTGAGCCGCAGGGGAGGGGAAAACCGACCAAACACACCCCGCCCGAAACAATACACAAACAAACAACCCCCAAACAAGCACTCTTCCCGCGGCGGATGGCGGATGTTCGCGGCTGAGCCCGGCGGCGGGAGCAGCAACGAGGGAGAGGGGCTTCTCCGCCGCTCTCGCCTGACCCCGCGGCTCTCCGGCCCCGCAAGCCGTCAACAGGCTCGGCCGAGCGCAACCCCCACGCTGCCCGCGGATCCTGCCCCCTCCCCGACATCCCTGCCGCCGCCGGCCCCACCCTCGGCAGGCGGGGCCGTGCCCGCCCCCGGGCTTCCCCCACCGCCCGGGAAAGGGGAGGGGGTGCTGAGTCCGCCCCATCCCCGCCCCGTCTCCGCCTTCCCGGCGGAGCAGCCCCGGCGCGCCCCTTAAAGCCGTTCCCGCCGCCCGCGCGGGCAGAGTCCGTAGGGCTGCCGCCAGGAGACGCCGGGACGCGGTGTCCGCGATGCTGGAGAACGGCTCCCTGAGGAACTGCTGCGACCCGGGCGGGCGCGGCCGCCTCGGTCTGGCGGAGAGGGAGGCGGCGGCGGCGGGCGCCCCGCGGCCCGCCTGGGTGGTGCCGGTGCTGTCCAGCGTGCTGATCTTCACCACCGTCGTGGACATCCTGGGCAACCTGCTGGTGATCCTCTCCGTCTTCAAGAACCGCAAGCTCCGGAACTCAGGTAAGGGTTTGACCCCTGCTCCCTGCCCCGGCGGCGACAGGGAGTGGCGAGCGCCCGAAGCCCTGCGTGCACCCATGCCCTGCCGCTTCCAGCTGTCCCGAGGAGCCAAGCCTGCTTGTGGAGTCCGGGCGGGCCGTCCGCTAAATGCGTGGGACCAGAGCCCCCTCCATCTGTACTTGCCCTGTCGTGTGTGCAGGAACCCCCCCAGGCGCTCTATCACCCTTTCCAGCGCACCGACCACGTGCTCCCCTCGGGCCGTGCTCCGTCCTGCCTGGCCCGGGAGCGAGGAATGCTCTTAATGAAGCACTGTGTGCTCTCTATGGAGCTCCCGAGGAAGGGGAATCGGTTCCATCCGCTTAAAATACCGGAGACAAAGAGGGTACCCAAAGCGGTCGGAAGAAAAAAAGGAGTTTTTAAAACTTGCTCAGAAGTCCTGAAGATGCGGTGCTGTACATGCGCGGGAAAGCAGCTCAGCCTGCAGCCTGCATCAGAGTTCACGGTACTCTGTCACGAAATCGTCTTTCTTCGTCTCCTCACTTCATATCCTTCAACCAGCTTTGCAACAAATAAAGTGGGGTGTTTTCTTTGAATCGTGTCTATAGTTTTTCCTTGTGTGTGCTAACAATGTGGCTCTGCGGGTTTGTTTTGCTAAACTTACTGGCTTTCTCTCCTCATCTCTGCTGGGCTGGTTACACGTGTCTCAAACTATAAAACTCCGTAGTTAAGCACTCGGATTTGCCTCCCGGCCAACTTCCCTGATTCGCGTACCTTCCGCTGCGTTTGGATACTAGACCCCCACCCTCCTCCCACCGTCGATGATACCGGTTGTTCACCGATGCGCAGCGCAGGGATGCTGCTTGCACATCTGCACTCGACTGACTGGTGGGTGGTGGTGCAGTATAAGGTGCTACTCCCGAAATAGTCGTGTATCTACTACAGTTCTCATAGGACTAAGCAGTTCCCGGAACTGTTCCCTCCTTCGGGTCTTGAGTGCTATTCTTTGCCATGCGCACGCAGGTGGGGGTAACCAAACTTTGTGGGGAGCTGAGCGAGGTCCGATATGCAAGGTCCCCTGAGCTCTGGGAGCCAGGGGGCTCTGCCGTCGGTCCTCCGGGTGCTCCCCCGGCACGGGAGAGGAGGGGCAGATGCTGACTTGTTTCTCCGGGGGGGAGTTTCTTTGTTTGTGGTTTGTTGGGGGGGAGGTGTTTGTTTTGGTGTTGTGGTTTCTGATTTTTTTTTTTTTTTTTTTTTTTTTTTTTTTTTTTTTTTTTTTTTTTGGACTAGTGTCGCTTCCCAAGGGCTGGCGTGTCTCACTTGGGGTGTCTAGAGCTCCTGCTAACTGGGAGGAGGCGCTCATTCGCCCTTGCTTCAAGTTAAATCATACTTGGGGGCAAAAACAGTTTAGGGAGGGGTGAGTCTTGCTCTCCCTCATGGTTGCACGTCTAACTAAAGGCGAGGGATGCCGGCGAGTCCCGTTTGCGTGAGGTTGAGCAATCACAGCCCACGGACCAGCGCCAAAATCGAAGACGTCTGGAAGGGTGGTTTGGGTGAGGTAGTGCCGGTCCTTTGGCTCATGCTTGGGCTGCACATCCAAGGGGACCAAGCCGCTACCGAGAGAAGCAGAGCCATACCGGGGGCAGCGGCGCGGGCACACCTCGGGAGCCGGAGCCCTGCGTTCCCCGAGGGGGGCCGTGGCCGCCGAGCAGCGCCGGGCGCTGCCCCGGACGAAAGGAGCGGGGCTGGGGGCAGGGAGTCCACCCGTTCCCTCGGGACCCCCGTGAGTCACCGGCGCTCTCCTGGCCCCCTCGGCGCTAGAGGAAGGCGCGTTCCCGAGGGATTCGCGCCTGGGCTCGAGGGGGAGGAAACACCCAGGGAACAGGCTCTCGCTGGAGAGGACGGCCGGCCCGAGGCATCGAGTCCCGGCTGGGGGGCAGCAAGACAGGGGCTCTCCTCTGAACCGTTTCCTTCGCTCAAACTACAGCAGGGGGGAGGGTTTGGACTGGAAGAGAGTGATGCCTGGAAAAGTAAGTTTCAAGATACTGATCAAAGTGCTCTGCGGCATCCTAGGACCGCTGGGGGAAAAAAACGGTCGTCTTATCTAATTCAAATGCCCACTAATTGATCTCCTTCTAGGATCATCCTTAATGCAATGTCACTGACGCTGTTCCAACGATCTCTTCATCTTTGATAAGTACTGTGAAGAACAGCAGGAAAATCCTTCTGCATAATCTTCACGAGGTTAAATAGCTTTTAAATTGCCAGTTCGTAGTTTTACATCGGGGAGAGATGGCTCTTGGAGGTGAAAAGGAAAGAGGATTAGTTTGGTAAATGTCCACAGAGGTCTTTTCAGGTAAAATTTCGTAAGGAGGGAGCAGAATGGAAGAGGACTGCAAACTGATGTGGGTGGAGTGATAAAGGGAATGGGGAAGTGGTGGAAAGCTAAGGCAGTACATGGGAGCCCTTAGCCTCTGACAAGGAAAGAAGATGGACAAGGAGGTGGACTTGCAGTTTTCCTTTCCGAGGAAACAAGAAACTTTGTACTTGCAAGAAGAGTGAATGTAGTAGAAAGTGAAATGGTGAGGAAATATGTCATGAAAGGAGTTAGGGCTGTAATAAGGGATGTCAGAGAGGGACAAAATGAAATTAGTGGAATTGTTGTGACAAGAGACAGGGTGTCCAGATGATCAAAGAAAAAAGGAAAACCTATAGCACTATGAGCACCCAGTTCCCTTTGAAGAAGCTAATGAGAGATTTTTCTTGGATAACGAGAATTTGGGACTTCAAATAAATCACAGATGTATAAGGAATAAATTAATCAGCTTTGCCCACTTCTGTAGTGCAAACAGTAGTCTTGCCTTCAGAAAGCAAAACAGGACTTTATCACTTTTCTGGGATTTATCAACACTATTCTGTCCTAGACTTTACAGAGAAATCTGATAATTGGAAACAATGTGATTATGCATCACTCTCCTGAAAATTAAGGCATGATCAAAAGTAAATCTATTTTAATGCTGTTATATAATGGGATGCTCAAGAATGGAGTGAAATAAAATGACCCATTAGCCTTTAAGCTGATACATATTATGCTCAGCAGGAGAGAAATGGAGAATGGGTAGGACTGGTGCTTCTAGACATTGCTCATTCACTCCTCAAACAATGGGAATTTTGCCAACCTTACAGCAGAATGATTGTTTCAGATCATACGGAAGCCTCTTTCCCAGGTTTGAATTTGGTTTTAGGGAAACTTTGTGGAGACTCTTCCAAGTATGGAATTGGTATGAATCAATATGCTTGTCTACATAATTGCACCCAGTCTTTCTGTGAGAGGCTGAGCAACTTCTGATCTCTAAAAGTGATTTAATTTACAGAAATTAATGCTTTTATCAGTTCTAATTTGGGAGGAGAGTAATTTCATCCAACACACTACAAAATGAAATAAAACTTAATATATGGAAATAATAAAATTAAATTAGCCTGTCTTTCTATTTGAAATGTCAAATGTGTTCTGAATTTTAAAAAACAATTATTGATTTTGTGCCCAGTTGAAGGTAGCTTTTAAAGTGCTAAACTTCTGAAGTGCTAAAGTTTACATGTGTTCAACCACCACTGAATGATCAACTATTGTGAAGGTGCATCAAGTCAATCAAAACCACTAAAGAAGAATTTCAGGATACATTCCTATAGCCATAGCTATAAACATAACATTATGGAGTGGGTTAAGAATCTGGTAGGAGGCACTCCAGAAGGTGGGAACTGGCAAGGCATCTCCCACAGGACAAAGATAAAGCAAACCATTTATATTTCATTGGCCTTAAAGCCAGCATAAAATCAGTGAGAAGTGAGAATCAGGCAAATTAACTCAATATCATTTCAAAGAGTAATGAGGACTTGGGACCCTTTGACTTCTGGAAGAAGGTCTAATATTAACCTTGGTGCATTGCCAAAGAACACATTAGTGGAAAGTAATATTTTTAGTGCATTTTGTCAGCCCTCTTCACTCTCTGCAGTATTTTCCGTTCTATATATAACAGCTAACGCAGCACAATGAGATTCTGATTTCCATTTGAATAGCAAGGTGCTGTTGCAACACAAATGAAATCAAAATTCATGTTTCTTTTACCTGTAAGGACATGGGTGTATTTGCATGTTTAGTTCTGTCTAATGTGTGTGTGACTGTAGAGATAGACAATATTTCTCATAGGTACATCTGTAAAAAAAAAAAAACATTTCTGAATGTAGAATTCTAACTTTGGTACTCCTCTGTCTACTAAATAAATGTGTTCAGCAATATAACCAAATTTTGTAGTCTTTTTCCATGCTCTTTCTATAGCCCTCACTCCACATCTCTCTTATATAGCTGACAGTAAGTTTTCTCCATTGCTAAATGCTTTTTTAAATTACTCTTCATCTCTTTGATCAAGCCAGTTCTCTTTCCCTCCTTTATTCCTCCCCTATAATTATTCCTGTCCACTGGGATAGAGGACAGTTGTCTCCTGTGGTGGAATTCATCTCTTGGAAGACTAAATTGAGACACCTGTTTCTGAACTTTTTCCCTTGGGCTCCCTTTGTAATCAATGGAGAAAAATGAGCATTTTCAGGGAGTAGTTAACCTAACAATTTTTTTATACATCTACATTAAGATACCTGATTCAACCCAAAAAAGTGTTAATGTCTCTCTACTAAAAACAAAGAGAAGCAGGAAGGACCGTCTGAGTGTAATCACCTACAATTAGATGAAAAGAAATCAAATATGAAGTCAGAAGATATAATGTAATTCTTCTAGTAAATTGTCAAGTTTCATTTTAAAAATGGCACATTTTCCTCCTTCTTACTGCCTGTCCTCCAAGAGATCATATTGATTTAACTAAGACTGACATAAAAAAAAAAAATACCAATACAGCTGATATGTTCAATATGCTTCCTGGTTCCCGAAACCACTTGGCAAAATTGTATTTTAATATCAGCAGTGATGCTGACAAGAATATATTTTGATGAGCAGA